GATTTTGGGTTTTCATTCATTCATTGTTGCACAGTCAGACTATCAATTACTCATGTGCAAGTTCAAATTGAAGCCTAAGAAAATGAAAATAAGTCCATAAGAACCAAGATATTGTCTTGAATATATTCCATATGAATTTCAAGATAATCTAAACAATAGATTTGAAGTATTGAATTTCAGTGATCAAAAACCAACCAGACGATTTATGGAATGATAACAAGGATATCATCTATGAAGAAAGCAAAAGATTATTACAAAGACAGGGGAGAAAGAGAAAACTTAAAATGGATGTTAGAAGAGATTCTAAAAATTGCATTAGACAATCGAGAAACCAAAACAAAGGGAGAACACACCAAAGTAAAAGAGCTGAACAGAGGATTTCTAAGGGCAGCTCGAGTATTATAATGGCATCAATTAGGATACTTTGTTGTTGTTTTTGATTAGTTTTGAGTTGAGCAAGACTCATTGTGACTATGAACAAAAGGCCTGAATCCTTCCACAACTATTACCATTTATCAAAGTTCACAGAGTTTCCAGAGGCATGCTGTTTAGGAAGTAGATGCCACTCCTGCTTTCAAAGAATACTTTAGATAATTTTAAAAAAATAGCTATAAAATATTTATCCAAAGTTAAAAAACAGTGTTTATTAAAAATATGCATTAGATATTACATTTAAAACATAGTTTTATCTCTCTGTATTAGGTATGATTATATTTGACATATATATTTTACCTGTTATGTATATTTGATGTTGGAATTGATAGTCTGACCCACAATCCACTGCTGGCCTGTTTTTGACTGCTGATATTGAACTTCTCCAATGATTCCTACTATAAATGCAATAAGTTTGATTCCTCTAAAGCCCTTCAGGTAAGATTCATCCATAAAGTCATTACTTGTTTCTTTTAAAAAAAAAGGTTATTTGCAATGAATAAATCACTGAAAGTACAAAATTATATTATTCTATTTCCAGCCTTATTTTTATCACCAGGCCCATTTTTTCAACTACTACTATTCCTTCTTCACTGTTTCCAAGTTTTGTATTCTGTTCACCAATTATCGTTAATGCACTGTTATTGCATGTTTGGGCAATTTTGTACTGCAAGATTGAGTGAAAAAAATCAATGTCTTCCTCTTTGGTTCTAGATGTAGGAGCATATATTCTAATAATAGTTGTATTAGCTATATCACATCACTCACCACATTGTATTTCAGATGTTGTTGTTGTTA